TTGATGCTATTAAGTTAAAGAAAGCATTAGAAAGCTTATAAATTAGTGTCTATCAAAAGCTCTCTTTTACAATTGAGAAAGATAATTAATCATAAAAGCTTGTGTCTATAATCAAGTTAAAATTAGATTATAAGGTTATTGTCATTAGGTTGAAATCTCTGAGTAGTTTTTTATCTTATATCAAATTTAAATTGAAAAAAAATAACCCAATTTCTTAAATATACCATCTCCATGTTGATTTCAAATCTTGTAATTATCTAATGCTCTAGGTATGCTTCTTGAGAAGATTTCATGAATGAGAATGTACTTCATGGGGTTGAGTGCAAATAAATGAGAAAATATATTTTCAAGGGTGTAGAATTAGAGGACTTTAGAGACTTCAAACTAGCTGGTCCTCAAGACTATTCAAACCATAGATTAACCAATGTTATTTATTGTATCTCTAGTAAGGGTAAAGAATATTATTGTTCCTATTTGACACAACACATTTAGTATGCTTTCATAACAAAGTTTCTATATTTATCACTGATTCATGATAAGGAAAAAATATTTTATTTATAATATCTTTCATCTTGCAAGTATTTTAGTTAAGTTTATTAGTTGTTTACTTTATTTTCAATTGTCAAAAATTACAAAAAGAATCAAACTTTCATTCATATTTTAGCATCTTAAGTTGAAGTAAGAATATATTGCTAAGTAAAATTTTGGTTATATAAAATTAGTCCTCCGTGTGGGATCAATATTCAGGACTTAATCAGAAAGTTCTATATTATTTAATAACGATATGTATACTTATGTGGTATCTCATATTGAAATATTATAATGACATTCTTATTTGCTTCATAGTGAAAGATTTACCTAGCTTTTGTTTTGGATCAACTTTTTTGCTCTGTTGCAAATTAAGATTATCTATTAAGGAAATTAATCGCATACATCGCATTTTACGTATATCTATATAGAAAATCGGGATCACTCATCATGAAGAGAAGTATGGAGAAGGTGGCTAGGGATGAGCATGGAGCTTATTGGAAGATCATTAAAGTGGATAAACAACTCAGGAGTGAGCTAGCTTGGCCAGTCCAAGTTCATTTAAGGAGATGAGTTGGATGCCATGTAAGGGATCATGTCTTCCTATTCACTTTAGTTAGCATTGGTCAAAACTTGTGGCTTTAGGTGTCTTGATGCTTTAATGGGTTTTTTGTGACATGATGGGTTTATGGGGTTGTGGGTTTCCATGAAGGGACTTTAATTAAGCTCTTCATGAAATTTCTATTAATTAACTGATTAATTAATTATTTAATCAATCCCAACTGATGGTTAGTCGTGTGATCATAAATTTGACCTTTTAGGCTCACTTGGGTATGAGATTGGTCATGTGGTGGCCACTATATGGGCCATATGGAGTTGGTTTGATCATATGGTCGATACGTTGACCATATGGGGCCTAGGGTTGACCTAAGGGCCGATGTGGTGTGAGGTGATCAGTTTGGTCAATTTTGGATATTATTTTATTTTATTTATTTATATTATTTATATTATTATTATTATTATTATTATTATTATTATTTCATGTGGTGTTATTTCGGGTGTTATCCGAGTAGTGTTATCGATAATAATCACGACATTGGTGTTACCCGGTGGTATCGCATGGAATCGCGGGGTTATTTGGCGAGGAATCGCGGGAGTCGTTTTATGGCCTAGGACCGAGGTGGTATCGTGGTGTTATGGGCGTGACACTGCGGTCTGGTTGCGGGATCGTGGTAGTGGTGTTATGGCGGTAGTATCGTGGTAGGATGGTGGTGTTATTGACTTGGTACTGCGGTGTTGTTGTGGAATCGCGCCCGTGGTGTTATTGCGGTGGTAACGTGGTTGTATGGTGGTGTTATTGATGAGGTACCGCGGTTTTGTTGCGGGATCGTGGTCGTGGTGTTATTGCGGTAGTAACGTGATTGTATGGTGGTATTATGGACCCAGTACCACGGTGTTGGTTCGGGATCGCGATCGTGGTGTTATTTCGGTAGTACCGCGATTGCATTGTAGTGTCATTGGGTTGAGTTGGGCCCAAATCAAGTTGTGATCTAGCCTAAACCCACTTTCTCACTTCAATTTAACTTATACACACATGACATAAGACAATTGATGATTCAGTGTGTTTTTAGGTACTGTAATGAGAAAATTTGGCATTCACATTTGACAAAATTGGGTTTGATTATAGAATTTTTGGTGGATTTGGTAACTCATAAAAACTTAAAGACAAACTTCTCAGGCTTCAGAGGTACAATCCCAGTCTACGATCATTGATAAGGTGGACATAGCGTGCCCTCACAAAAGTGAGATCAACAATGTTTTGTCTATAGATGAATATCTTATTTTATCAGGGAGACAATAGCAATTTGATCGCAGGACTCATCATGAAGGGCTCAAGAATACCCACTCATTAACAAAGTATGAAGTGCATGGATCTCCTTCATTCTACTGAGTTCGAGATTATAGGTGCTCTTACCAGCAGAGAGGCGCTAGTGAGATCAGTTTTGGTGATGCTATAGGGTAGTGAGACATAAGAGCCGATATTATGTATAGAGAAGTCACTATGGAGAGGGTTTTAAGATCTCCTAACACACCATACCGCTAGGGCCGCCACCATAAGGGAAGGTTATTTTTGTCCTAGCTTTTGAGAGGCATGAGCCAACATTGGGCTACCTTTGGAGGACTTTGCATAAGTGCACTTGGCATGAAGTTCCAATTCAGTTCAACAGGGTACCCACAGATGGTTGGACAGATAGAGATGATTAGTTCTCAAGTGTTTTGTGAGACGGTGCATCAGACAATGGAATCCAAGTGTTTGTAGAGGCGCAGTCAAAGTCCCTCTAAGCCTGGGAGATTACGACATTGTGGTTATCTTCAATGGAGCCGACCCAACTACATAATTTGAGATTGAAACTTCGATGAATGAGTTTGAAGCTCCCCCAATCTTAGGAGATTGACGCGTGATGTCTAATAGGCACAGAGCGTCCCAGGGATGCCTGGATGGAACTGGTCCAATAAGTATTAGGGCGGGCCGAACCCTCAAAGGCTTAGGAGTGTTGTCTAAGTGTTACTCTAGTCTATTTATCTGTTTTTGTTGGTGTCTAGAGTTAGTTTTTTACTGTGTTTATTTCGAGATAGATGTTTGCATCTCGCTTTTTTCTTCTAGGGTTGTATCCAAAGTTTTTTAGTGGTGTCTTGGTTGTATCTCATTCTCGGGTTGGTTTTTATCCTTTTCATACCCTTCTCCCTTTCCCTCATCTGCTTCCTTAACCTTGTCGCCCCACCTCGGCTGCTTCGCCCCTACCTTGTTGTTCCTGCTTGCCAAGCTGCTGTTTTTATGCAGCCCGCTAAGCTCCAGCACCGACCCAACCTTCGCTGCCATCCCATGCTTTCCTTCTTGTTGTCATCACCCAAAACCATACCCCACCGCTGCTGTTCCTGCTTCCTGCCTGCTGTTTGGACCTCGGAAAACGGCCACTTTGCTTTTTCCAGTTTGTCAACCACCTTTTTTTCCACTACCCCGCTTTGTTTTTATTGTAATTTCATATTTGCATTCAGCAATAATGTGTTTTCCATTTGTGTTTTGTAAAACCCAGATATCATTCCCTTTTTTCTTCTCTTTCGACTCTCTCAAATTAGTTACTGCATTTTCTTTTGACAAAGTGAAATTTTCACTTTAAAGCTAATTTTAACTGGCTGCCCTTGTTCAATATTTTCTTCCAGCCTCTCATTAAGAATCTTATCTGGCAACACAATTGCATCGACGAAGGAGCACCTCCATCCATCCTTATATATCTTATTCCCTCATTATCGTAAGCATATTCAAAATTTTTTAAGTACTTTCATCAGTTTTTTTTTATTTTTTTAAGTAGAAGATCATTCTCTAACAAAATATTCATCAACATGTCAAACTTCTAGAGCTTAAATCTTAAAATCGTCAATCTTAGAATTGCACTTATGTACTTGTTTATTGTAACATGAACGATAAACTCAATGTAAAAATATCACCAAGAACAAGCACATTGTGTAATCCATTAGAGTTCATGTATGACGCAATATTGATAGTAAAAGAAAGAGTTATTAAATTTTTCTTCAATTATCCATAGATGATAGGAGATGATCCAATCTACCATCAACGAAGCCATAAATGGTATACAAAATACAAGTAGGCTTACCAGAACATTCATAAATTTGTAATTCTGCTCATGCTTGTTGCAAGGATTAACTCCAAGAACAATCTCATTCAATATTATCGCACCAAAATTGTTTTATTGCATGCACCTCAAAATCTCCAAATCCTCCAAGAACAGCTAAAATCTCGGAGGGCAAATCACACAAGGATTCGAGATAGGTCAAGAGTGGCCATATCAAAGTGACCCACCACATATGTAACCATAAACCCCCCTGGGTACATTTTAGAGGCAAAGTGATGATATTTCTTGAGATTATCAAACAAGTGACCCAAATCACATGCAAATCTTCAGGCCCAAGGAAGCTCAATACTAAAGAAAATCAAGATAGGTCTGATCTCAGTCAACCAATGTGACCTACTTCAAAAAATGGAATATTCCATGTATCTCAGATCCTATGCAATTAAGTAATTTTCAAACAATACAACTCGTCCTGGAAATTGCTCATGTTGTTTACTGTTTTTATAAGCCATGGAAGGGATATAAAAATTAAATATTTTCGAGAGAACTGCTAAAATAGTTCCCTAACTCTTAGCAGTGGTCATTTTAGTCTCGAGAAAACTGCTAAAATAGTTCCCTAACTCTTAGCAGTAGTCATTTTAGTCTTAGAGTTTATAAAAGTAATACCCAAGTAATAATAAATGGACATTTTACTCATTTTCTGTTTTACATTCAATAATACTGTCTTCGTACGATACAAAAATCATTACACAATTTAAGAGGGATACTAGTCTTTCATATTCTAATACACAGTTTTTTCTAATATTGCCATTTGATTTGCAGTTTAGCAAAATCTTCTGTGGCAAACTTGATGACCTCATATTTAGACCAGCAGTAGAGAAAAGCAGATCGCGTCTGCTACGGGTGTCCAAACGCCAATAATCAGTATAAATTCTGTACATGTACGGCTGCTGAAACGCAATCCTTTTTATTCTGAAGCATAAATCATTTATGATGATTATTTTTTAGTGAAATTACCTACATATCACACAATTCTTATGTGTTTACAAATCTAACACCCTAAGTTTTTTATTTAGACTAAAATAACACCTTGTTGTCTAAAACTTGTGCATTGAACCGTGTACTTGACTTAAAAAATTAGAAATGGTGATATTTTTTTATGTGATGTTAAAGATTTGAGTGGTATACATGTAAATATGAATGTTAGATGTAAATACATAAGAATTATGCGGTATGTTTGCAAATGCCCCAATTTTTTATGGCTGAATTGTCTTTATGACTGGTTTACCCTTTAATCTCTTCAGGTATAGTATAAGGATGAAGGTGTGCCTCATCAAGAAGGCAGTTTAGTCCAAGGTAATGATTTTTGTTATTCTTCACCTTGTAGTTCTTACTTAATGAACCAGTTTTATGTTTAAAAAATTCTTTGAACTTAGCTTCCCTTATAGTTAACTGAAATTTTGCAGCATTGTTGTATAAGATGCATGTATGCTTTCATTAAGAACATTGAACTAAGTCTATTTTTATTTATTTATGAATTAGTTATTGTAATATATTTTATTCCTCTTAGCTTCTGATGATGATGAGTTTATCTATAACTTGAAACTCTTCGTTGTTTTTTAGTTGTTAACGTGATAGAGTTTAGAAAGTTATGAGTAGTGTTATAAATTTGCCTGAGTTTGAGCGAGTCCGATGTTTGCCTTTTTTTTGTTCGGCTCGTTCAAAATTTGCGTTGAAATAGGGTCATGCTTGAAATGGCTCCTGAATAGTAGCATGTTCGTGCTGGCTTGATTTAAATGATTTCTTTGTTTTAGCTCATGTACTACTTGAAGCTCGCTTAAATGATTTAAAAATGATTAAAATTTAATATTTTTAAAATTAATATAAAATATAATAATAATATTTATTTATTTATTTAATTTGAGTCAAAATTAATTAAACATGTTCTAGTAAGAGCTTTTCATGTTTGATTGTTTTGGAAATTGAACTTTTTAGGAAGCGAGCTGTTTGCAAAGGCTACTATTTTTTTTTTATAGCCCTAGTTAGGAAGAATATTAAAGCGGTAAATATGGCTTTACTATATCTTCAAATTCGTTCCAGCAAATGCACAAAAATAGATGGGCCTCTTTAGCTTCTTCCTTAATAAATTACTCGCAGATGATTTTCTGAATGATAATCAGCTGAGCTTGATACAATAATTTTAGATTAAATAGCCTTCTTTAGCCAAGAAAATTTACTTTTTAACTTACCAGATTTTGGTGGCTGAGCTAGTTAATGTGTAGCTCGGATAGGCCGCACTGAAATTATGCACGTGAGATCAAATTTACATTTTACACCCTCTTAATATCGGCAATTATAATAGCCAGGTGAGATTTAACATGTTCCAAATTTTATTTTAAGAAGCACATCTAATCACTTTGTGATTCGTGTTGTAATTTTGATGCATACATATTAGATCCCTGAGTTTTCCTATTCTATAACAGTTACAACTATGTTAATGGTAGAGAAACTATTAATAAACTAATAGCACCAAAATCAAGATAATCAAATAAACAATTGACTTCCGCTTGGGTTCCACGCCTAGTGTGCCCTATAAATGGATTCTTGTTGTCAGCTATTCTCAAACAAGTTGAGGCCACCCAGATTGAGGATGCAATTCGGAGTAGGGTGGATTTTGAACTCTTTGGCTTTGTCGGGCTATCGAATTTCTGTTTTTTTAAAGAAGAAGAAGATCATGAAGAAAGACAAAAGGTCGAAGCTAGAACTTGTGGCAGTCGAACTAGATGACTCATCTGATGGTGTTGACGGATAGTTACCAAATAAACTTCGCCAAGAAACTGCTTGCCTGGTCTGACATAAACGCGATTGTTAAGGGTCAACGAGGCTCGCGAAGGGACGAGATCCGGGAAAAGTAGACGAAGGGAGCGACGGTCGTCGGTTCTTCCTAGCCTTCACTTCAGAAAGACAGAGGTACCTTATTGTAAGAGAGAGACGAGTTTTCGAGAGCACTTTTTGAAATGGGCAGGTTTTTAGGTATGCAAAAAAAGTTTTAATTGTTAGCGGGTTTTTAATGACTCTGTGATATTATCTTGGATGCAGATGAATTAGTTTAGTTGAGGGGTGGTCGCGAAGATGACGGGCCTTCGAAGGACGATGGCCATTGCGGTGGCCAATTTGTGGGCCGAGTACTTCGAGCTTCTACCGCCAATCACTTCAAGGGCTCCACTTATCCGACCTTTTGCCCACGGTGGACCCCCAATAGGAGCGACCAGGGTGGTGGCAGCCTTCTCCCAGATTCATGAAGCAGCAAGCAGATGGGGCTGGCATGGAGCAGGCAGAGACTTGGTCGTAGGTCTTGTACGGGAGTTGTCATCTTGCTTCGCAGTTACAGATTCAGGGTGACGGCAAACGGAGGTTGTCACTTTGCATAGCGGGCTAGTGAGCTTGGTTAGGAGCACTTCGTGAGTCGACTACCTGGGTTGAGTTTCAGTGTTCCATTGATCGGGTGGATCACATTAGTTTATGTAAGGAGTTGGTCCTCTAACAGCTAATTTGGAAGGGGCATGTAGACTGAAGCGTTGGAGACCTGTTTATAAAACACTTCATTCAAGACTTGTAATAATGTTAGTTGCAATAAAGCAATAATCAGATAAATTTGAAGAAATATTTATTATGACACTTATCATTATGTGTCGTCTCATTTCATGTGCTCGCCCTATAAAAAAGGTGAGGAATTGCTTTTCACCTTTTACGCTTTCTGATTTTTTTCTATGTTCCTCTTGTCCTCTCTTATCCTTTTGTCTTTTGGTCTTTTTCTTGTGATGACTTCCAAGTTCTCTCTAACTTTCTTTAGTTCTAGCAAGACCTCCAACCCTTCGTCTTTTACGGAAAGGGATGTGGAGGAGTTGCAGAGGAGGTATGTCTTAGATGGTCGCATTTTCATTCGGGCAATGCCTGGATCGATTGCCCGAATCGACACACGACAAATAATGTGGGCGAGGATTTGGTCTTCTATCGGGATCCGTTCAAGTATGGTCTCTGGTTGCCCTTGTGCAATGAGCTCCAGAGTAGCTACAGAACATACTTGGTCGTTCCAGCTCAGGTGCTGCCAAATTCTAAAGCCGCAATAATGATCTTCATTTTTTTCTTTCGTCGAGAAAGAATCCCGTGGTCGATAGACTTGTTCAATTATTCTTATATGTTCAAGGATGATAAGGAGGGCTTCGCCATGTTCTCCAGTGGTAAAAAACTAACTCCTTGGAGTTGAAAATAAGATAAAGAATTGGTGGAAGCAATTTCTATTTGGTTCCTGCTCCGACGATTGGGGTGTCCAAACCAAACCATCGGAGTCAACAGGGAACAAGGTGAAGTCCCTTTCGGAGGATATTCACATCGTCGAGGTAATTTTAACTAGCTGAAACCTCTCAATTCTGCAGTATACGGTCGAGGCAACGGTCACCTGAGTGTTAAAGGGTGAGTTGACTAGGGAGCAGTGGCGTCTCTCAGACTTTGATTAGGCGAGGATATTTAAAGTGATGAGAGAGAAGCTGGCTGCTAAGCAAAGAAAACGGAAGCGCCTCCCAACAGATGGTAATCCTTCTAATAGTTCTGACTTATACATCCTCCCTGGTGGAGTGGCTTATGTGAAGAACAATATTAGGGGTGCAAAGTTTATAGTTTCTAAATATGAAATTGATGTAGTTATCCAAAACACAGTGACCAACGAGGTTACAATAATTGCATGAAATCATTCGATTGCTACAGGGACTAGCGAAGAAAGGGAATCTGCTTTTGAGGATACACAGGGAGAAGCAAAGGCTGCGGTCCCTTCTTCTAAATCTGGTCTGTCGGCCGATGCACAACTAGTTACAGCCATCTCATTGGGTTCCAAGTTCGTGGTTCTGCATGCATCGCTCTGTCTAAGCGAGTGAGGCCGAGTAGGCACGTCTCCCCCGTTATGTCCGTATCGACATTAGAGGAAGCAACCTCATCTTCTGACTACCATCCCCCGTCTTCTCCAAAGGGAGAATATGCCCGTCAGTGAGGGAAGGAGCCTGCAGAAGGACTGGATGCTCCTCCTATTGCCCTCCAACCCACCCCCCGAGTTGAGAAAATATGCATGCCCCCTCTTTTGGTGGAGTTGTTATGATCCAAAAAGCTCAACAAATCCTTATGTGGTCTTAACAGCCAAGACCTTGGTCAGAGTGTGGACCTGTTTCATGTGATGGTGATGCAAGCCGCTCATATTCAAGGTTGGCTTTGACCACCTCGAAAAGATCTCTGGGTGAGACTAGGAAGAAAATTGTCTCTCTACAGGCGTAGCTGGGGAGGGTGCGTGACACTCGGGACTTCTTGTAGCTTAAATATGACAACGTTCTTAAGAGCCATGAAGAGTCTCTCGTAACTATAAAAGCTCTGGAGAGAGAGGCCGAGGAGTTGAAAAGGATTGTTGCTTTGTCTATTTCCAAGGACGAGCATAGGGCCGGATTGGTGAAACAACTCCAAAGCGGAATTGATTTTCTTGTCTAGAGGTTCATCCACCATGGTCTCGTTGACCCCAAAATTATTTTTCTGTGTCGTGGTTTGTGTGCCTTCACCTTTCTAATGCTTTTCCAAGGCTCTCTCATTGTAGAGAAGATGCAAAGGCACTAAGAGCGATGAGTAACCAGGAGCCCTTATGCGGCTTGAATTCAACCCATTTCCACCCCTAATTTCTAATGCCCATTGCATAAATGGCTTTTCTCGTCACTTCTTCAGATGAAAATAATTAAAACTATTCTCAATTTAAAAGAAGAAAAACAAAAAAGTTAAATGAATATAATTTCTCTTAATTGAAAAAGAAATAAAAATTTCTTGCTGGGCCACCAATTTCCTTTGTTTTATTTATAATAATAATTATGTGTACGAAACAATGGAAAGTTTCACTTTTCATAACCTAAATTCATATGAAAGATGAACAGTCAGATTTCCATTTCAATCTTACATCATTAAAAAACAAGCTAAGTAAATTAAAATGGAAAGGGATACCGTCCATGCATATTCCATTATAAAAAAACTAACTTTTTTTTCCTTCTAAAATAAGAATGAATGGAAAAGAGCAAATACAACAATACAAATGTCGGGATTATAACTAGTAGTTTTATTAAATACTTACAAGAGAAGTTACAATTAGTTCGTAAAAACTCAAATAATATGATCAATTAAAACAAATCTACAGGAAGCGCACTTGAAACCTTGTCCTTTCATAAAAGCATCTGTTCTGTGGTTTAAAATAATCATGTGTAAATTTTGTAATAGCAATGTTTCATGTACTATGTGTAATTATCCCAAAATAAAAACACCTGTAACCCAACAGTTTTACCCAAAACCTTTGGCAGCATGAATTGAATTCAAGTTAACAAATATAACAAAAGAAAGAAACATAATCAAGCAATACAATAAAATGTCTATACAGCTATATTTAACCAAAGTTCCTGCAGCATTGCTCAGTAAAATATACAGAAAAAAAAAAAAAACATAATAAAAAATAATAGTAAGAATCAAGTTGTTCCATGCCTAATTCAAATCCATACAAAATGGGAAAATTTCTGCACATTAGAGATCAACAAGATGACCCCAAGTAACTCACAAACCAAGCATGACATCCACACAGAGACCCTAAAACATACCCAAAACATCATTGATATAAATTCAGGGAACTACAGCAGCTGGGTTCCAAACGGGTTGTTTTGGTAATGGGCGTTGTTCACAGGGAACGACCCAAAACCTGTGGTGTCTGCAAAAGGATTTGCCGAAGCTCCGGCTAACATAGGTGGCTGTTGCGGTGAGGCCATCGTATGTGCGAAAGGGTTGGACTGCATCATTAAGGACTGATGTTGAGCCATAGCTGCCATCTGCACGGATGGAGACACGGCTATTTGGTTCGACATTGCAAAAGGATCTGCTGTCAGGAAAGGATTTGGAGGGACGCCGAAATATTGTTGTTGTTGTTGCTGCTGCTGCTGTTGTTGTTGTTGTTTGTATGCGGCATCATCGTACAAACTATCTAATATGAGCTTGTCGAATCCGCCCCCCTAGCATTACATTGGAAAATGTGAAGCTTAATTCATGCAATGAATGATAAAATTTACACAGAATGTCATATATATATATATATATATATATATATAGGGTTGATTTAGTCTGAGAGTCTATAAAAGGGTCAAAATAACCCTCATATGGCCTGAACTAGTCCACAAGGACTATATTAATCTCTATTAGAAAAGCTTGTGAACTAAATTGGCACTCATAAACTTTGGGATTAAAATGACCCCCCTTGCAAAGAGTCGAGCACCACATGGACATTTTTCTCTATATATTTATAGCATAATCATAATGATAAGAAATAAATAAGCAGGTTTGGCTTATCAATTACATAAAAAATGTGGAGCCGTATTAACCATCGTTCATCAATAGGCAAAAGAGATAAAAACTGAATAGATTGGCATGTTCTTAATTAAACCAAATGTCACTAGCCGGATAATTAACTATTGATATCCGTTAAGGAGTGAGTCAATACAACAAAGTAGTATTTCAGAACAGAAATTGAAAAGTGCCTTACAAAAATGTTTGAGAGAACTAAGAGCAGTATCAACAGAAAACTAATCCAATTAAATTTTGATTGGTATTTTAAACAATCATTTGCAGCTTTCCACGATTATCAATAGTATAGTAACCCAATTAAATTTTGATGGTAACACAAGTAAAACAAGCAGCATTCCATGAAGATGAGATGAATGTCTTCCTCTCAAAATCCAACCTGTTTCTAAGAAACTTATCCATAGGAACCCTTCCTCTTAAACTAATAACACCATTTTGACTACCAGTAATCATCTTATTCCTTTTTTCTCCAGATCATTCTCTCTCTAATCTCAAGCTCAACACCACATAAGTAGAAGGGGTAGTAAGACAAATAATTGTATATTTTTTCAGGTTTTTCATACCTTATGCTAAAAGAAGAATAAAGTGTTTTTAAATTTTTAAATATTAGACTCTTCCCTGAGCTATGCACAATGTTTTTTATGATGCACAAGTCCCACCATAACAATGTCATGTCTTCAGTAGATTATCTTTTTCCAAAGATTTGTGGAATTCTCATCAAGTACCAATAGAACTCAAACCATGCAATTCAACTCTTAAACTCAAATATATTTCTTTCTTGCCCATTTTTTCTTCCTTCCACGCAAATTATCCTTCACTTAAATAATTGAATGGTATATTAAGCTAAGCATCAATGGGTAAGATATGCTTTAATGTAGTTCATCTCTTGAGCTTGATATGGTGCCTGGATTATTTTTTGTTTATGTTGGTTGCATTGCGTCTTTAACATAATTTATCATTATCTATAATAAATCATGTAAAACTTACTTCGTCGTCGTCTATAATCTCTTCATAATTGTTTTTTTTTTGGAGGATTTACATACATACCATTCAATTCATATGTATTTACACAACTAAAACCTAAACTTCAATCTTTATGTATACGCTACCTTACCTATGCATGAGAAGATGTATTTCACAATTTAAAAGTTAAAATAGTGGTATTTTGGATTGTTATGAAAGATTTGAGTGATATAAATGTGAAAAGTAAAGTAGGGGTTAGTAGATATGTAAATATATAGTATTTGGGTGGTTTTTATATGTAAATGCCCCTAGTTTTTATCATTTTCATAGACATTTATTTGACTGGTCTTCATCCATACTCGAGCCGTTTGATCTCCCTTGCAACACTATCGTGCTTAGAGGGATCCCCACACGCAGTAAGGGATGAAGATCACAACTAGTCAGCAACAAACAAAGTAGTTCAAAAAACAGCACTAGACATTAAATGATAAATTTCTACAGCATTATTATCATAAAAAGGGTGGCAGTACAAACCAGCTGGCTTTCAACGGCAGATGACGGGTTATCGTTCGTGGTAACAAGAGCTAGCTCCCATCCAGATGGATCAAATGATTTATCATTAACTGCAGCAGCAGAATTAAGGGAGGCGGCATCTGTTCAGAGGGTACAAAAAGTTAAACTCAATCATATGAATCATGAATATCACGTAAACAAACGTATAAATAAAGCGATATTTACATACATAGCACACAATTTTTATGTATTTACATACCTCACACGTAAACTTTCATATTTACATATATAACACTTTGGTGCTTTAGCCCTAATAGTGCTATTTTTTGTGGTATTAAAGATTTGAGTGCTTTGTGTGTAAATATGAAAGTTCAGGTGTGAGATGTGTAAATACATTAGAATTGTGTGCTATGTATGTAAATAACCATGATGAAAACAGATAGAAATAAGCATACCAGAAGGAACTATTGCTAAAGCCAAAGCATTGCTTTCTTCTATTGCTGATGCACCCACATAAAAATCATTCAAACCCTGCTCAAATGGTTGATGTTTACTTGCATCAATTAGAGAGCGAAAAGATGAAGAAGAGTATGAAGAAATGAAAGGGCGATGAAGAAAGCTCTCAAAATTGACCCAAACTTACCAATAAATCTCCAGTATCTGCCTCGTGGAGAGGAGCAGGTTTAACTTCAACCTCAACATTCGAAGGTTCGAGCTTCGTATCTTCAACAGGAGGTTTTTCATCTTCAACAACAGGAGGAGCTTCCTCTGGTTCTTTGTAAGTCAAAAGAAGTCTCTCTGGGAATTCCTGTATCAAGCAAGAATTATACATCCCCATGCAGGTAGAGTAATTCTTGAGCACAAATCAAACTAGTTCTATTTCATAAGCACCTAAACGGAATTAATTCTTAATCTCTAGTGTGCTTAATGAAATATATTTTTGTGTTGCAATATCAAAAATTTAACTTGGCGGTACCAAGCTCGAATGTGAAAAGTAGAGGGTTGTGTTAGGTAGTCGAGAACAAGTATAAAACTTGACGAAAAAATTCATGAAATAAATCCTTTTGATCATTGTGTAAGTGCTAGGGCGTCCCCTGAAAGCGAGACGCTGTATAGTCTAAAGACAATGAAAAGTGTGCAAGCGTTGCTACATCGGCGCCCTTATGTAGTGTCAAATAAACAAGAGTTCTCACATAATGGACGGATGAGAGTAAAAAAGTTAGTCCATGAAATTAATATTAGGATAATATCATGGAATATAGGTACTCTCACTGGTAAATTAATGAAACTAGTTGATATTATGATTCATCTAGTTGATATTATGATTCTGATATTATGATTCATAGAAAGATAAATATCTTATGTGTTCAAAAAACTAAATGGGTTGGAGAAAAAGGCTAAGGAGGTTGATAATTTAGGTTTTAAACTTTGGTATACTGGTAAGCATCGCACTAGAAATGATGTAGGTGTAATTATAGATTAGAGTTTGAAAGATAATGTTGTAAAAATTATTAGAGTTGGAGGAATTATAGCATTTAAGATTACTGTAAATACTATAAATTTTAATATTACAAGTGCATATGCTCCTTAAGTATGTTTAGATATAGGTTTTGAACTTAAATTCTGGAATAACTTGGAAGACTTAATACAAATGATACCTCTCGAAGAAAGAATTTTTATGGGAGATTTAAATGGACATGTCAGTAGAATGATAAAATATTTTTAAAATATTCATGGCGACTATGTTCTGGAATGACTAATAAAGAAGTTGGTGTCATATTGTGTATAGTTATATTAGATTTTTCTTTAGCATATGATTTCGTTATATTTAATACTATTCAATAAAAAAAGATGAGCATATTATTAATATTTATAAGAATGGATCTAATAAAACACAATTGATTAGTTTCTTATGAGAATAAAAAACGACGAGAATGTAAAAAATTGTAAGATCATTCCAAGTCAGAATTTAAGTACTCAACATTGATTATTAGCTCTAGATTTTAAAATGAAAAATTGTAAAATAAATAATACTCAGAATCATTGTCGAAGAATTAGATGGGAGTACTTAAATGACACAAATAAAATTATTTTTATGAGTAAAATTTATTCAAAATTTGGGATGTTCATGAAGAAGCAAATTCTACGTGAGATAAAGTAACAAACATTATTAAATAAGTGACAAAAGTTATACTTGGAGAATCAAAAGAAAAAGTTTTTATAACTAAAAATAGTTTGTGGTTGAATAATAATGCGCATGAAAAGATGAAATAAAGAAGCTACATTATAAAAATTAGTTTAAATGTAAAAGCTTAGAGTGAGAAAAATATCAAATGGCCCGTAGGCAGTCTAAGAGAATAATTTGAAATGCTTTACTAATCTTTATAATAGATTATATATTAAAGAAAGTGAAAAATATATGTATAAACTAGTCAAACAAAGAGAAAAGATAAGTAAAAATTTAACTTAAGTATAGTGTATTAAAGATGAAAATCAAAAAATACTTTTCTTAGAAAACGATATTTAAAATAGATGGGTGAGTTATTTTGATAAACTTTTTAATGAAGTTTCGGAAAATATGATCGACCTTAGTGATCCTAATATTGTTAATAATAATTTGTTTCATTTTTACCCCCACATTAGTAAAAAAGAAGTGAGAAGGCTTTAAACAAAACCAAGAGTAGAAAGTCTATAGGACCTGATAATATCCCAATTGAGGTGTGAAAATATTTAGGAGATTTGGGAGTTTCTTGGCTCACTAAACTCTTTAACATTATTTTAAAAACTAAAAAGATGTATGAGTGATGGAAGAGTATTTTGGTCCCCAGTTTTAGGAATAAAGGGGATGCACAAGAGTGTGCAACTTATAGAGGAATTAAGTTGATGTGTCATACTTTAAAATTATGAGAGAGGGTAATTGAATATAGGTTAAGACGTATTACAAAGATTTCTCATGATCAATTTGGATTTATGTCGGCAGGTCTACTATGGAAGCTATACATTTATTGAGAGGTTTAATGAAGAAGTTCAGAGATAAGAAGGTGGATCTACATATGATTTTATTGATTTAGAAAAAGCTTACGATAAGGTTACAAGAGACATCCTTTGAAGAGTTCATGAGAAGAAAGGTGTTGATATGACTTACATTCAAATCATTAAAGATATGTATACAAGAGCTGTTACAAGAGCTGTTACTTGT